ACACTAGGCTGTTATCTTCTCTAAGAATTGCTTAGTACTTTCCCAATGCGAATATCTCCGTCGTTATTCTTATACCCTTGCTACCTTCTATACTTCTCGTATATACTTTTTGTGTACATTGGGATTCCACGCCACGTGATGCTATAGTATCCCACTGATGTTGGTTGCAATGTGGTCTACGTAACGCAATATTGTGATCTTATTGATCTGATTTTACTGTTCGACATGTTCTAGTGTGTCTAGTCGCTTCTTAGGATAATGCTCTATGCTTCACACCCCTGTTTTTATACTCTCTTGTGATGTGTGTTGTTGTAGAGTTTCTATAAACAGTGTTTCTTATTTGTGTACTATTGAATTTCCAACCCCTTGCCTCTATGTGGGGAGGTGTGCTATCCCCTAATTTATTCAGTGATGTGAAAAATCACGCTGTAAATCGCACTGACACTTTTGTGCAAATTTGTGTGTGTGCTGAGTCATTCCCAATATTGATAGTTATATCAGCTTGACACTTTTTTGGATTTTTTTTCCACAATACGCGTAATACTGCAACAGAACCACCATATATTTACCTTTCTTAATCTTTCTTGGTTAGGGTATCACGAGGGCGGCGGCTTCTTCACTCCCTCGTCTTCTCTTTGTTCTTATTGCAGCTTGAGTTATCCTCAGCCTGTGGTCAGCTCTCCTGATGTGATCTCGTTCCAGTTTCCGGCTGTTGACTCACTTCTTGTTGTTCAGTAATCTTCACGAGTTCTGCTTGAGGGCTAATTCCCTAGCTCAAATGTTTTTTGTTGGCTGAATAAGCTTTGTTGACTTATCTAAGTAAGGATTTTGTAAAAAATGTAGAGTATGCAGAGTAGCTGAAAAGTACGAGCCAAGGAATACAATAGACCTCTTCTCAAGTACGGTTGTCTCAGCTAGGAAAAGTCCCTAGTCTGAGAGAACCGAACTGAGTCCTTATTTGTGTTTTCTAATTGACTAGACTCAGGTTTCTACTTGAGTGTTTCTCTCTCACGCAGAGTACCGGTATAGCTTACCGGTTCTAGCGCTAATATTTGTGATGACTCTAATATCAGGAATATTTGAATCCTAATTCCAAAACTCAATATTTGATTATTCTGAGGTTTGGGATTTGGATTGGCTTTTTGATAATCTGGTCCCTAGATGTTACATTAGCACACACCCTCGGTGACTTACTTCCACTTTTGGAGGTAATTACCTGTCTCTTGTTCCTGTGTCCTGTAAGGACCTTCTTCTCCTGTCCGTTTCTACTGAGTGGTTATTACTGAACTCCTTGTCTCTTCTTTAAACTCCCTTCTCAGAGTTGCCCTTTCTTCTGTTGTAGACTTCTTAAGTCCTGGAAAGCTTTCCTTCTTTCTTAAGATCTCGTTTTGGTTTACTAACGCGTCTACTTGGTAGTTTCTGTCACGTCTAGTATAAAGGGTTTTTTGACCTATTTATTAGGAATCGTAAAAATGTAGAGTGTGGAGAGTAGCTGAAAGATACGAGTCAAAAAATACAATAGACCTCTTCTCAAGTGCGATTATCTCAGCTAGGAAAACTCCTCAGTGACAATTGAACTGAGACTTTATTTGTGTTTTCTAATTCACTAGACTCTGGTTTCTACTTATTGTTTCTCTCACATGCGGAGTCCCGGTATAGCTTACCGATTAAACCGCTACTATTTCTGATGACTCTAATATCAAGGATATTTGAATCCTAATTCCAAAACTCAATTTTTGATTGAGTATTCGGAATTTGAATGACATTTTGATAATCTGGTCCCTAGATGCTACAAGGTAGTAGATACGATCCTTAACGGATGATATCCGAACTTTTCGATCCTGTTCACGTCGCAATCGCGACAACTCCATACTATTCGCCAGTTGTGTCCAGCGTCTTTAAGTGCGTAGACTGTCATGATTATTGAGTATGACAGCACGCCACTCTTCTCCGTCGGATAGGTTTGTGGCTAAGCAAACCTGTTTTATATTTGACCTTTCTAATTCTTCCAAGTCTTCAGTTTATTTATTTATTTTTATCCAAAGTCAAATATTGATTAGAATTGTGCTGAAAGCTTGTAGTTGCCATTATCCTTCCAATCCGGACAATGACGATGATATCTCATTATCTATGGCATACATGACACCGGCCGTACTAAAGAAAGCTACTTTCGGATCTTGGTAAAATATACACTGGGGTCTGCTCTTTGCATCCCTTTTATTTCTTTAACCCATTTGTCCGATTTTCTAACGGAAAATATAGTGTAATCTCACTGCCTGTCTTCTTTATATGTTTATGAATTTTTGGTATCAAATACCAAGGCGGATTTGCTCATGGATTCTTTTTTCGTCCAATCAATGGAAAATGCATCGATTGGTCCATCTTTAGTACAGTATCTGTTTAATTGATGGTTAATATAACTAGCAAACAAATCAATGGCATGTTTGCCAAATAATGCTTTGTGTATAAGTAGTTTGGGTTTGTCATCCATTCGACGGTGTATACCCAATGGTCAGACATTTCCTGAAACATATCCTTCCTTGCATCAGGAAGTAATCTTGACATTAAATCAGGGAAGTAATTCTTCTATCCTGTAATGTTTGTCAATGTAAAATCAAACTGTTGTATGATTTCTTGCCAAGGTGGTAACAACGGGCTATTAGATGTCATCGTATGTGGATACGTGAGGCTTTATGGTCTGCTCGAATTTGAACTTTGATCCATATAGATAGTCTTAAAGACGGCCAAAGCTGGAACTACTGCTAGCAACTCTCCTTGCTTGTCGAGTAGTGTATTTGATGTTTATTTAAAGACTGAAAAGAAGCGAATGTACATTTATCTTTCGTTTTTTTATTTTAAATAATACTCAGCCTATAGCATAGTCAGAAGCATCAGTTTCCAGAATAAAAGATAATCCGTCTCCTAGATATGATAAGATTAAGGCTTGGGCTACTTTGTTTGCTTCATAGATTTTAGCCTTTCATCCCATTCGTCATTCCACACTTTATTTAGTGTTTTGAGGTTGGTGAGTTTATGGAAAGGCTCAGCATATTTTGCTAAGTGAAGATCTTCCTTTCTCATAAAGTTTGCCACTCCTAGAAGTGATTTTATATCTCCTCCAGTCTTAGACGCTGGAATCTTCCAGTCTTGGGCGCTGGAATTTGCATGAAGCACCCGATCTTCCTTCCGTATTAGCAGTGTAAGTCTGAAATGAGATTTTTTTAACTTTAGTTTTGACTATGTGTTTATTTAACCGCCTCAATACGTCTTTTCATGTTCGTTCGTGTTTCTCTTTGGTGTCACTAGCGATTGAGATATCGTCTATATATTTAAAGACATTCTCAAGGTCTGCAAATAGATGTGTCATCATTCTCTGGAACATTCTACTACCATATGGATGCCAAATGGTGCATTTATACGCTTATGTTGTACTCCGTTCTATGTGGAACTCCCACACGCCCACCAGCCTAAGGATACACCGGTGTGCTAAGCGCTTTTGGTGTCCATTGTTCTCATCATTGACGAACTGACGGATGCCCTCAATATATGACTTGAACCGATCCCAAGACTTTGGTGATTCCTTTATGAAGTCCTCCTTAACATCCTCTGGCTTCATATTCTTTCAAGTCTCTGGGCGATATTTCAGCAGAGTGGCCTATAACTGCGATGAATACTTGAACCACACTTCCCCAGACTTAATTCGAATATACTATTCGAACCTCTCAGCAATAGCCGGGAACTATTCAAATGTGTGCAAGTACTCCTTCAAGGTAAATAGTACTTGTACGGGGCTCGACCGGTCTTCTTGGATGCCGACGGCTAGTCTAGGCTGTATTATAGGGCTCTTCCAGTTCGGCCACCGCGTGTCCGACCACCGTAATGATCGCCATCATACGGACCACGAATAACAAACAAACCTTTTCGACCCATGCAGTCTTATCCTTGTGTTGTATGGAATCTCGACACTTCCACACAGTAATAAACCTCGAGCGTCAAGCCCGGTTATTTGCAATACGTTCTTTTGCCTGTGCCACACCCTGAGCAAATCCTTGCGGGTCAAATTTAAGACTATCCATGAAGTTTCACCTTGACCCCGCATCACTAGTTCAGTTATGAACTGTTCGGTTATATACAATACGAGTATCACCTCCTATATATCCTTCATCGTACCATTGACACTCTCAATCTGACCATTTGCCTTGCGGCGCTCGGCTGAATCGAGCTCAAAATCTAACAAAATCGTTTTTGTCGGACTCTTTGCCTGAGTCAACAACAATTTCATCGGGTATACCAAAAAGTAGCAACATATCAATGACTACCCCCAAGGTAACCAGATATACATGCCTGCCATACTTGACAACTTATGACCCCAAATCCACTTTGAAAACTTAACAAACAGGAAGAATGATGGCTTCATCAGAGGGAACTAGGGGTTCAATCAAGTCAGTGCTAATCAAAAGTGGATCGAAGAGCTGGTTCCAGAGCATAAACGTGTAGCGGGCGTTACTGGTAATTCAGCTCGTAGTTCCATGATTTAAAGCCTTATTGTCGGTGATGAACTGGCTGGTGTACAAGTGTCTAAGCTTACCGGGCTTAATAATGCTCAGACGGCGAAGCATTACTATCATTCCGAGCGCTATCAGCAGAATGATTCTGGGGCAATGGCTAGCGAAGGTCAGAAGGCACGAGAGACACCACAGATTGAGAAGGTGATAGTTCCTTACAAAGGCAGCGACGATACAATTGTCAAGGAGTCTACGTCGCGCCAAACAAGGAGCAGCACCTCCAAGCCAAAGCGCATCAAGATCATCGTCAAGGTAGTGAGACGATTGGAATGGGTTATGTGGATGGTGCGTGCGGTTCACTACACGATTGAATATTGTAAGAATTGTCTGTCTGCGTGTACAAGCTGGTCGGAGTGTATGTATCTGTGTGTATAAGTTCCATAGCTTATAATGGTGTACTAATCGACACGATAATATGTCGTTTGCGTTTGACAGATGCCCGAGAGTATAGACCCATCAGCGCCAGAGCCTGAACCTGCTGAGAATGTCGTCGAAATTCCGAACGCAGGGACATCGCAGCATGGGGATACTGTACCAGCAGTACAACAACAGCAAGCATCCACGTCCACAAAAGTTCATGACCACCAGCCTCGGGTTCAGAAACTGCAACAAACTCAGCTCCATCAACAACCACAACAACATCAGGCATCTACTACCACCACACTTTACACACACCGGCCTCAGGTTCAGAATCTGGCTCCGACTCAGCTACATCAGCCACAGACTAACATGATGTATCCACAACAGCAGGTAGGCATACAACAGATGCCGCAGATGGGTAATTTTGGCTCATACTTTCAGCAGCAGCCCTTCAGAATCACACCACAGACAGGCAGTGCTCCGCCTATGTACTTACAGTATGGGTGATAGCCTTTTTACGGTATACAGCAGCTGTTGCAGTTCCCGATACCGCAGGTTCCGAATATGTTTCCCCTGGCACACTTGCAACAGTCTATGGCTCCACAGTATACGACACCATACAACAGCTCCAATATATACGACAACATGCAACAGACTGCAGGGGACATGCAGCAGATACAAACTAGGAACTCCAATCAAAAGTGGACACACGCAAATACTACAACTCGGCATAAATGAAGGTGCTGATGACCTTGCCAAGACGCTGGATGAGCTGCTGGATGGTTTCCAATCTGGCCAGAATGCATGAGCGATGTTCGGAACCACGTGCACGCCAGCAAGAGAAAGAATCACAGAACTATAGACCGAATACTCAGATAGAAAAACTATCAAGCTACTGCCTCAGACTTTAATTATATCGCAGGTGCATAATTCTCCATGTAATTTGTACCTTTCGTGCATTGTAGTATATAGTTCTCGAAGTTCCGGGAGGGCCTTTCTCCTCGAAGCAAAGATAGAACCTTCGAGACCCATTTGGAACTATATTCTATACTGAAGTTCGCCCATCAGTTTCTAATATTTGATACTTCAATAACCGCGACAATGATTACACTCAATGCTTCTCTCATCAGGACTAAGGTCTCGCTGTATCTCGACATATCTCACTGAATCTCGAATCGTCTCGCCTCAGCCTCGACTCTTCTCGATTCAGTTCGAATATGTCTCGAAAAAGCTTAACATTAGTCCTGCTTCTCGAACTATCTTCAAATATTAGGAACTGATGGGCGAACTTCAGTTTCGAACATAGTACCAAATACGTCACATTAGATTCTGTTCTTGTTCTGTGATGTTAGCGGCGACCCAAGCACATAATCTCGTACTCGTGGCCACCCAGATTAAGGTAAATCCAATATCTTGGCATCGACCCTATAGAATGTCTGCTAGCTCTTGTTTCCAGCAAATTCAACCGTGAGCTCGACCAGCCCTTACGATCGGGTACACCTGTCCACAGAACCCATCAAGCCAGCCCTCCTTGGCTGCCGATCGATATTCTCGCTTCATGTTTGAACCAGCCAGCCCTTCGGCAATATATTTACCTCAGCCCCACTGTCCAGTATGGCCGATACTATGCGACCGTCAATTCGCAGTTCGTCTCGCCAGATTCTTTTGCTATCCCGTAGCCGTGGTACGATCGGCCTGTCCCATCATGCCTGCTTGCATACGATTGTCTATGGCCTTTCTTACAACACATTCTGCACTCGCCGTCAAACGAACAGTCGTTAGCAAAATGACCAGCTTTTCCATATTTGTTTTTGCTGCCATTTTCATCTCTACCCTGACTCGAGCACTC